TTTCAGCACAGTGCCAAAAAATAGAGAGCAACTGAGCATGCGCAGAGCAGCGGGATACAGTGTATTACTGGATTTTAAACTGTATAGGTACTTATTTTTAATGTTTTACATAGTTATACCTGAAAAAGGAGTCAGCCTGAAGTGATCTAACAGGACTTAATTTTCTGACAAAAGTTCCACTTTAACAAAAAAATATAAATGGCCAAGTTATGGGTTGGGTGCTTGTGATTAAATCTTGGTGTGTATTTATACTGTATGTAACATTTTATATATTAGGGCGTTAAGAGCTGTTTTTTAATTGTGGGTGTTTGATTAGGTTTTAGGGCTCAGATGAGGGGAGAGGTATAATGTTTAAGGTCAGTCCAAGAGTTAGGTTAACCACTTGATCTCCGGAAGGTTTTACCTCCTTCATGGCCAAGTAATTTTTTTGCTATTCATCACTGTGCTAATTTAAATGGCAATTGCTTGGTCATGCAACACTGTACCCAAATTAAATTTATATAATTTGTTTCACACAAATACAGCTTTCTTTGGCTGGTATTTGATCACTACTGTTTTTGTTATTTTTTTTTTATTATATATAAATGAAAAAAGACAGAAAATTAAAAAAAAAAAAGATATTTTCTGCTTTCTGTTATAAAACATATCCCATAAAAATTTAAATAATCTAATTTCTTCATCAATGTAGGCCAAATGTATTCTGCTACATCTTTGATTTAAAAAAATCCCAATAAGTGTATATTAATTAGTTTTTGTGAAAGTTCTAGTGTCTTCATATGGTGGTATATATACTGGAATTTACACAGCTATGTCGTTATACTGATTATGGTGGTGATCAGCTACTTATAGTGGGACTGTGAGAGTGTGGCAGGTACTATGTATACTGTCACTGTTCTAATGACACTGGCTGGGAAGAAGTTAACATCAAGAGGCAATCAAGGGGTTGACTGTGTGCCTAACAAGTATGATGTGTGTAATATGTGCTGATTTTACTAAGAGATTTGGCAGTTTTCCCCTGCATTGCAGGGAGCAGAAATAGCCAGAGTGCTGATCTGTGTACACAGCTATGTGTGTTTGTAAACATGGGACTCTGTGCTGTCATAGGCTAGAGCTGATCAACAGGTCTCAGCCTTAAATCTTTGGGCAGGACCTGCTGACAAAATTAGCCAATGAGAGAGTGGGTCAGCAGGGGTCGCATGCATGCCCACCGCAAACCCAGATGGGGCTGGATGAGGTACATGTACATGATCTAGCCTGGCTGTGCCACCCACCCATCTGCAGTAAATGTAGTATGGGGGGCTGGCAAGCAGTTAATTTTAGGGGTCAGGGCATGGTGCTGGTTTTTCACATTGCTTTCTCACTGAGACTCTCGCCAGGTTCTTGACGCTGAAAGCTAAAGTATCAGAAAATAAATCAGTATTTGACCTATATGTAACTTAGCCCGCAATGCTTCAGCATTCTTACATTATATATTCTTACATCATATATATATATATGGTAATTTTTCAATTGGCACTTATTTAGCAAACCCTCAAAAACCACAAGATACAAGAATATAGTGTAAGTAAATAAAACCTCTTTACAAATGCTTTCTGACAGTTTTTAAACATTTATTCCTTTATTATGTAGTTAGTTCGGAGACAATCGATCAGGGGGAAGAAAGACTCAATATCCTAATGCATGTGTTAATGTGCTTTGCAATGGGCAGTTTGTAATTCGAAATAGCCAGTCAACAACAGCAATGAACCCTAGCCAATAACTTAATGCTGCAAAAACAAGGAAGGGGGGCACATCTTGAAATAATCAGAAACAATCAGAAATATGGCATGAATTATATACCCTAACTAAAACATACAGGACGCACAACCCAATGTCTAATTATCCGAATGTAAATAGATATTAGCACGGTTGCTTAGTGAGAGAGAAAAAGTGGCAAAATTTAAAGTAAACCTTTACAGGTCCAGAAAAGGTTAAACTAATCTTATGCTGGGGTAGTCATCTGGGGCCTTGCTATTATGCGCAATGACTACATAGTGCCTGTACTCCACCAGGGGGCCCTTGAATCTTTACAGACAGCTTCCACTTTTTCTCTAGATGCCACCTCCCATATAACAGTGAGGTTGACTTATCCCACATTGTGGGAATACGATGGGAGAGTACATTTGTTTAACGAAGTTTATACTTTATGCAATGTTGCAACTTTCGTATTAAACGTCTGTTTATCTAGGACCATCAGCAACATTTTGAATTTACAGAATGCATAAAGTTAGTTTAAAGCAAAGTTGTATGGTCTTTGTCTATAGGATTCCAGCAGAAGTTTCTGCCGATCAGATATGTTAGGGTTACAAGACAAGAATAAAAGAGTGTTTGCAGATCCCAGGAAACATCTGCATTATAATTCTGCCACCAGATTAGTAAATGTAAAATCCCTACCTGAATTACATAAATAGTGCAGCGCTCAAAAACTAACCTATATACACAAATAACTGTGCTCACATGCAATGGTGACACACATATAGTGAAATAACCTAAATAACAAGTGCCACTTAATGATGATCTAAGGTGTCCACATATCATAAAAATATATGAAAAACGCATATATATAAACAACGTGTAAGAGCGCATAAATATCAAACGCATAAATATGAAAAAACACATATATAGAAAAAATCTTAACTAAAAGATAATTTTTTAAATAATTTATAAAGTGCTCCAAGTGTGGTGATATAACCACATTCAATCAAATTTATCTTCAAAAAATCAAACAAAAAAATTGTCCATAAAAAATAGTGGCAAACACATGCAAAGTGAAAAAGGTGCCCAAAAAAAAATGCTAGAAATTGTGCAAAACAAATGTGTCCTTGTTCCACAGCAGTGCAATTCTTCCCCTCCTACGGCTAAATTGCCTCCTCACCTCCTTACGTCGACCCCTAAGGGCCACACAGCATTCAGGATCTCTCTGGATCCTTATCTCCTGGAGATCAGCCCTTCTCCTGCCGTCCTGGATCACTTTGAGGGTATTTCCATTACCCCCACTTAGAAGCTTCTATAGGATAATTACTCACCATCCAGTGAGCAAGAAAGAAAGAGATCCTCTAAGTGCAGTTTTTTTAGAGCCGAACGACACTTTAATGACAGTGTTTAAACAGACATATAGCCACTCACATGTTTTTTCATTCCTCTTGACTCGACATGTGGGTGTGCTGCATGTAATTAGAAGGACTTCCTGGGTATACCAAGATGGCGGTTGGCACCGGAAGTGCGTCACCGCGTACCGGAAGTTTGGCGTGCTAGCGTGCCTACGCGTTACGTCACTATTACTCGTGACTTCCTCCCAGAGGAAGTCACGAGTAATAGTGACGTAACGCGTAGGCACGCTAGCACGCCAAACTTCCGGTACGCGGTGACGCACTTCCGGTGCCAACCGCCATCTTGGTATACCCAGGAAGTCCTTCTAATTACATGCAGCACACCCACATGTCGAGTCAAGAGGAATGAAAAAACATGTGAGTGGCTATATGTCTGTTTAAACACTGTCATTAAAGTGTCGTTCGGCTCTAAAAAAACTGCACTTAGAGGATCTCTTTCTTTCTTGCTCACTGGATGGTGAGTAATTATCCTATAGAAGCTTCTAAGTGGGGGTAATGGAAATACCCTCAAAGTGATCCAGGACGGCAGGAGAAGGGCTGATCTCCAGGAGATAAGGATCCAGAGAGATCCTGAATGCTGTGTGGCCCTTAGGGGTCGACGTAAGGAGGTGAGGAGGCAATTTAGCCGTAGGAGGGGAAGAATTGCACTGCTGTGGAACAAGGACACATTTGTTTTGCACAATTTCTAGCATTTTTTTTGGCACCTTTTTCACTTTGCATGTGTTTGCCACTATTTTTTATGGACAATTTTTTTGTTTGATTTTTTGAAGATAAATTTGATTGAATGTGGTTTATATCACCACACTTGGAGCACTTTATAAATTATTTAAAAAATTATCTTTTAGTTAAGATTTTTTTCTATATATGTGTTTTTCATATTTATGCGTTTGATATTTATGCGCTCTTACACGTTGTTTATATATATGCGTTTTTCATATATTTTTATGATTATGTGGACACCTTAGATCATCATTAAGTGGCACTTGTTATTTAGGTTATTTCACTATATGTGTGTCACCATTGCATGTGAGCACAGTTATTTGTGTATATAGGTTAGTTTTCGAGCGCTGCACTATTTATGTAATTTTGGTATTCTCACTGTTTGGGTAACAGATTAAGTGTTGGCAGCTTACAGTAGGGCTATTTCCCTTTTGCGCAGGAGGATCTTTGTTTATATTAAAATCCCTACCTGACCGCACATTGAATTTTTGTTAAGTGCATGAGTGCTTAGTAGAGATGAGCTTGGTTTCAGCCCTAGGTTTGGTCTGAACCCATGATTGACTGGATCCAGAAGTCAGTTGTCAGTGCTGGGCCAATGAGCTCTGGACGGAACATTCTCTGCTCTGCAGCTGTATGTACACAAAGTGGCAGATATGCTTGAGATCTCATGGCCACATTGAGTCAATCATGTCATGCGCATCCCTGCCTCTTTGTGTACACACAACTGTGGGGGCAGGAAAAGTCTTGGTTGCAGCTCATTGGCTCAGGAATGACAGTTGCCTTCTGGGTTTGCTCAAACCCAAGTTCATACCAAACCCAAGCTCATCATTAACGGCTTCCCGTCCGCCCCATAGCAGATATACTACTACAGGGCGGCACGGGGGCGCAAAATCACGTATATATACGTGCTTTTGCATTTCTGGGTAGGTGGCCATCTGGGCCGCGGCTGTCAATCACCGGGTCTCAGCTGGTGATTACTCACCGGCACCCTGTGATTGCCAAGGATCTCCAATGGGGGGGGGGGGGAGAACGGTTAGTAAACAAAACAGTTCTCCTCCCTGACAGCTCCTGCAAGCCATGAAAAGCAGTGTGCTTACAGTGAAGCACACAGACCCATAGTAAAATACATACAGCACACAGTTAACCCTTTGATCGCCCCACATGTGAACCCCTTCCTGCCCAGTGCCATTAGTACAGTGTCAGTGCTTTTTATTAGCGTTCATCACTGTATTGGTGTCTCTAGAGATGTCAATGACACCAGGTCAGTTCCCCCCAGTGTCAGAATGCCCGCCACAGTCCCGCAGGATCTCTATAAGTAGTGATCGCTGCCATTACTAGGAAAAAAAAAAATCCCAGTATGTATACCGCCATTTGTAAATGCTATAACTTTCACATAAACCAATTAACTTACACGTATTGGGATTTTTTTTAGCAAAGACATGTAGCAGAATACATTTTGGCCTAAATTTATGACGAAATTTAATTTTTAAATTTTTTTTACTGTACATGTTTAATTGCAAAAAGTCAAAAAATATATTTTTCTTTCTCAAAATTCTCGGTAATTTTTTTTATAGAGCAAAAAATAAAAAATGCAGAGGTAATCAAATACCACCAAAAGAAAGCTCTATTCGTGGGAAAAAGAGGATGTAAATTTCATTTGGGTGCAGCGTTGCATGACCGCACAATTGTCAGTTAATGTAATGCAGTGCCGTAATGCAAAAAATGGTCTAGTCAGGAAGGGGGGCAAATCCTCTGGAGGGCAAGTGGTTAACCTTTAACACTTATAGATATTTATTGCCTCTCACATAGATCCAGGACTTTTTTTGAACAGGAACATGGGGAAATGCTGTTCCGGTGCCTCCAGCACCTCCATCACTGAATGAATGTAATGGCAAGGGGTGCTTGGGTGTGCTGGAGGATCTATTGATGCTGGCAGCTAGGGCATCTATTGTTGCTATAGGTGGGTCTTATGTTGCTGAGGGGTCAGTTGTTACTTGGAGGGATCTACTGTTGAGGGAGGGGTCTATTGTTACTGATGTAGGGTCTATTGATGCTGGCAGAGGGGAGATCAGTTGTCTCTGCCAGTGTTCTATTGCTGGGGGGGGGGGGGGTAATTTTGTTGCAGGTGGTCCATCGTTGCTGGAGAGATTTATTGTTACTGGGTGGGTCTATTGTTGATGGTGGGAGGTCTATTGTTGCAGGCTGCTCTATTTTACTGCTTTTCTTGTTATATTTAACAAATTCCATAGAAATTACTTAGCACCACAAAATTATACTTGGTTCTGTATTCTCTAAAAGTGCTGTACTGGGGGGTGGGTAGAGGGTGGAACCAAGTGTAGCACTCCCTCCTTAGGGGTTGCTGATGAATTGGGTCCCCCTTTAGTTCTGCACAGCCAGTCAATCTGCATTCCCCACACAAACATGTGGTCCGAGTCAGAAATATGTCCTTGAGCTGTTGTTTTATATTTTATTGAGGGGACTTAACTGGGATAGGGTAAGGGGGTATAGGATGCCCAAGGGAACCAATAACTGAGGACAAACTTCCTGGAACTATTCACAAGCTTCTTCTTCTTCTGCAACACAGTCTCTATTGGAGTGCTAGCCAGCATCTCCTTGTTGTACCACCCCAGACCCTAGATTAACTCCATTTTACCCAGCAATCTGGAGACTTTTCCTGAGCAGGGGATCTGGCTCCAGTCCCTTTAAATGAGGTGAATAGTCACTAGCAGGGGGCTAATCTGGTTTCCCACCAGAGTGCTCCTTCCCCTACCCACCCAGGGGGTGCAGGTGTACTCACTCAGAATCTCTCCTGCTCCTACTCTGCCATAAAGGTGGTCCTCACTCAGGATGCCAGTGAGTTCTGAATGTTCCGTTTTTTGCAGCTCCAGGCTCGCAGGCAGGCCCCATCCCAGTAGGCCTCCTGGCAGCCTTCCTCCTCCAGTCTCTCATCGTCCTTTCTCCTACTTCCACCCCACTTGTCACATTACTGCTACTGAGCAGCCTCCTACACTTTTAAGGGTGTCCCAGCCAATTGCCAAGCCTTCTGTTGGGGATTGGCTGAGGTCCTTCAAGAGTGCAGCTAGACACTCCTCAGATCCACCCCCTGCCACCAAGGCCCTCCTCCGAAAGCCTCAGAGCAGGGGGCCATTCCAGAGGGGCTGGCCTACAGAGTCTCTCAGCCCTGACCACAATCTGACCCCTCTGGCTATTGCACCTGAGCTGCTAACCTGCTTCTGTCTAACCATTAGGATCCAGCTGTCCCTAGCTAAACTAGGGACCAGGACTGCCTAGGGGCCTCCACAGAATTTAATCCAGCACTGGTTACAGTGTTTCAGTTTGAACTTTGGAAGAGAGGAGACTTAGGCAATAATTCCTCCTGCCTGCAGCAGACTGATGATCATCTTGGCAATGCCACTGAGTACAGCTCATGGGTGTTTTTTGGATAATATAAGGCAAAGCATTTCCAAAGAATTTTGCACTGCTGATGGAATTATTCATGCAGACTTGTACATTTATTGAAACTTCTCTAGTTTGACCGGTTTTGATTTAATACAAGCACTCTTTATCCTTCTACAGGATTTCCTCTTAAAACAATGTTAAAATAGAAAACATGCAGATCAACAGATCAGTATGTGCTTAGATACCTTCGTGGTTCACACAAACCAACTGTCTTGTAGTAGTTTATTTCACGGGACCTTTATAAAGTAAATAAATAAAAAAAATACAGAAAATCTTAACACTCATAGTAAATAAAAATTGATTCTATCTTTATATCTGTTGATCACGTAATCTGAACATGAATATGTATGCATATTACAAACATTTTAATCTCAGTTTTCGGGCTTAAAGTTTATTTTTCATCAAACAGATTACAATCAGGCTGAGGATCACAACACAGCACCAGAACATAATATTTACAGTGTTTTCAGCATTGCATTTGTTTTCCTTGTCTGGCCACCTGTGTACACTTTGAGGTTGTTTTATTAAAGGGAAATAAGCTGTTCACATTGCAAGAGAATTTTCCCTTAGCCTAGTGCATGTGATGAAAATTTGCTTTGCAAAGAATATCCAATCACATGCAAGAAAAAAAAAGAATAATTTTGCTTGTTCATGATTGGGATGATGGAAGTCAGGATAGCTTCACCTATTCCCCTGCAAAGTTCAATTTCCCTTGCAAAGTGAACTACCTCTTTGTCTATAATAGTAGATCAACCCCTCTCAGTAAACTGAGTGGCAGAACTAATGGAGGAAGTATAGAGGTCAGTCACAAGATTGAGTAATAACTAGCCATATTCTATTACGCTTCATGCAGGGGCAGACTGACCATTTGGAAACTCGGGCACTGCCCGAGGGCCCGGGGTCAGTAGGGGGCCCCATGAGATGCCCCTGGTACATTTTTCATAGGCTTTTTTTAGTTTGGGAAAGGACACAGGGGCCCCATGATCCCCTATTGCCCGGGGGCTCCATGAGTTGTCAGTCCACCCCTGGCTTCATGTATAGGAAAGAAGGACTGAGGGAGTGGTATGGATAAGGGAAAACAGCATCCTGGCACCATTAATAATGCATTCTGGTTTTAAAATAGAACTATGGGCACTTTTTTCATTTTGGATAGAGCAAGGGATGGTTATAACCCCTGTCAGATATTTTTTTTACCATTTGTGTCCCATTGGGGACATTTCCCTTCACTTCCTGTCCCATAGTCATACAGGAAGTGAGAGGATATCCCTGCAAATTAAGGGAGTTCCTTGGGCCCCCCAGGTCACCAGAGCTAGTGCCCCCATTGGAAGATTTCCCCTCTGTTACTTTTCTGGCAACAACCCAAAATCTTCTTTTACTTTCACTTTCAACAATAATAGTAACCAGGACAAATAGAGTGAGTGAATCTCCTTAACGACTTGCCCTCCAGAGGATTTACCCCACTTCCTGACCAGGCCATTTTTCACGATACGGCCCTGTGTTACTTTAACTGACAATTGCGCAGTCATGCAACGCTGTACATAAATGAAATTTAAGTAATTTCCCCACATATAGAGCTTTCTTTTGGTGGTATTTGATAATCTCTGTGTTTTTTAAATTTTTTGTGCTGTAAATGGAAAAAGACCGTCAATTTTGAAAAAAAAAAAAAAACCCAATATTTTTTGCTTTTTGCTATAAAACATATCAAACAAAAAGTTAAAAAAATATAATTTTTTTCATAAATTTATGCCAAAATGTATTCTGCTACATGTCTTTGCTAAAAAAAAATCCCAATACATGTAAATTAATTGGTTTACGTGAAAGTTATTGTGTTTACAAAGGGTGGTATATATACTGGAATTTTTATTTATTTCTTTATACTAGTAATGGCGGCCATCAGCAATTTATAGAGGGACTGCTGGCATTCTGACACTGGATGGGAACTGATTAACGGCCACTGACACCAATACAGTGGTCAGTGCTAATAAAAAGCTCTGACACTGTACTAAGGACACTGGTCAGGAAGGAGTTAACATCTGGGGCGTTCAAAGGGTAACTGTGTGTTGTGTTTTACTAGGGGAACATGCTGCTTTCTCTCTCTCTCTGCCTCTCCCTCAAGGATCAACTTGAGGACTCCTTAACTTCAGGATGCACTTATATAAAAAAAAAAGAATGTCCCCCAGGATCTCTGTGCAGACGGTGACTAGTACCCCTTCTGGAGGTTATACGCTACACACAGTCACTACTCTTCAGCACTGGGGTCGTGTACGCACATAGTCACAGGATCATCGTTGCCTCCTGCCGATAACCAGCAGGCTCTTTCTAGTGAAGGAGATGTAGACTCACACCACCATAGGACAGTTAGAGTTTGTCACACCAACTTCCTCCTGGCTCTCTCCAGTAAGCTTCTCCAAACCCAATTAGGTCCCTGGACTCAGTTTGTGATTAGGTAATCCTAGGTGGATCCTCTGTATCTTCCTGATGATTTCCTCTAAAATCCTGCATCAGTGGCAGAGCCCCTGCACAGGGGTCTCCTCCAGCAGGACTGTGCCCAGGAACTCTGCACCCAGCTTTTCAGGCTTCAAACTATTTATGGGCTCTCTCACCACATACTGGGCACCCAGGGATTGGCTTAAGTCCCATAATATTCAGGCTGCATGCCCTGTTCTTCCTCCCACTATGATTCTAGAATCCTCTAGAAGACAGGGGAAGTACTGTAACAGAGCAGCAGCCTGTGAAACATCGAGTAGCCCCAAATAATCAACCCTTGCTCCTCTGGTTACAGGGGAGCCAAACTAACTCTACTCTACACTAGGAGGGTGCTACAAATGTTTGATTTTGATTAA